AATGCATCACCAGGCCGGAGTGAAACCAGATAATTCTTGGTGTTTATCTGAAAATTTACATTTCATACTGTTCCCTCAACGTAGAAAATATTCTCCTCTGTAAGTCCCACCCATTCTTCAAGACCCAGGCCTTCTTAGGTTTCCATCCATCTTCCCTTCCCCAGGCTGAAAGTAAACCCTTCTTATTGTGGATTCCAGTACACTCTGTTTATATATTGCTCTAATTCAGTTTTTGACTTGTAATATAGATGATCTTTTAAGAGGTTATGTTTTTTCTAGAAAATTATATGACATTTTATCAAAGTATCGTATTTATCAATAAATCTATGTGGAGTTAAACTGTTTGGAAGTAAACCCACATCTCCATTATCTAAAAGTAAAGGGCCTTAATAAAAATCTTGCCCGCTTAACTGAAAGAACAAGCTTAAAAATCTAAGGTATTATCATGGTGAACATTGATTTCCAACAGCAGGCATGGCTTCCTATATTTATAAAATGGAAAATACATTCCTAAGTCTCTAACAGTACAATGGTTTGAAGTGTATCTCAGATATTGACAACAAGAGCTATTTAGCAAAAGACTGAAGTAGTTTCTTCATATAACAACCTAAAAAATATTCCTGATTTATGAGCTCTTTGAGAACAAGGTTTAAGTTCATTTTATCTTATGCCTCTTAGCTCTGTGCCTTTAGTAGCTAGAACAATGCATTTTAGAATTATACTTAGTCAGCAACTGCTGGAATAAATTAGTAAATTGAATTTTGACATATTATATATAGCAATCAATGAATAATTTTGGTATAGCATCTATTTTTAGCTTGTTCAACTTTTTGAAAAAAATAGTATCCTCCTTTTCTCATCCTTAGATTGAGCTTAGATTATTTTTGACAATGAGATAATGCGCATGCATATATTCAAAGTCTTTAGGATTGTGTGTACATATATCTTAGCTATTGTTATTTTCATTAATAGCTTTGACACCTTAAAACACGGGAAAATTCCTTTCCTTTGCCATATAAGATGCTTGGTATTATTAGACTCTCCTTAGAAGAATGTTGTTTACAATAACTTCGGACGGCAGAGTTGATCCTGGAGTTTGTTTGTTTGTTTGCACAGTTGCCTCCTAGGCGCTGTCGTTGACATTAGCTGTCCCTCTAGCCCTCCTGCAGCCTCCGTTCTAAGAACTTTCTGTTCTTTTCTCTTGGTCTGCTATTTACACAGCTGCTTTGAAATAGTTTAAATTTATATATACATTTATTTAGTACAATATGTTTTTTCAGATTAAGGGCACCAGATCTGTCTAAAAACAACTTTTACCAAGCTAGTTGTCAAGGAAAGTCTTAGAAAACACCAATATTTTTCTAGATTGATGTCGTCATTTTATACATCTCTTGATCTTTTCTAAGCACTTACATTGTTTTCTTTTGATTCACTGTTTTTGGGTTCTATACTCTTGTTTTACATTACATGGATTGGATTAAATCCATATAATGGAATTAAATACACAGTTTAGAAGTTATTCATGGCCTTAAAAGTCAGGGTTTTTTAAAATTATAAATTGGCAAAACATCTCTTCAAATTCTCTGTTATATTTCTTTCTCTCCTCTGGGATAATAACTAACGTAGACTCTTTACTTGTTTTAATTCATTTGCTCCTTAGCCAAACCAATAAAGTAAGAGTAGACATTAACTTCCTCTTACATATAAGGAAACTGACGTCCAGGGAGTTTAAGCAACTTGCTAAAAGTCTCACATCTGGTAAAAGGCAGAGTCAGGAGTGAAACTCTGTACAGTCTGACCTGAGAGACCAAGCTTTCAATCACTGTGTTATGCTTCCTCTCATTCGGGAGGGTATGGCTGAGACTCTGACAAGTCTCCAACTTTGTGACTACTTCTATAGTCAGGGTAAAAGCTATTGTGATACCAAGTAGAGAACAGCACAGCTATTTCAATTCATGGAGACTGGTCAAGTAGGCTAAGTCAGGAAGTACCTAGGTTCTACCATCCAGCTTTGTCTCTTGTTTCCATGACTCACATCTGTGGCACACAAAGCATTAGTTAATACAAGCCATGGATCATGAAAAATCTGTAACTGTAGCGGATAGTTAGAAATCCCCAAGCTGGAATACTCTTTAACCCAGGACTTTATGAAAAAAAATTTGAGTTTGACTAAGCCTGCGCTCTCAAGTGAGAACTATAAACTGTTAAACATAGAGTTAAATTAGGAAAAAGATTGCATACATATGAGCAATAAGTAATAAAACTAATGTCAATTTCGATCTCACTTCATTAACCATTACTCTTAATGCAATAGTCTTTTGTTTGGTTCCTCATAGTTTTATTTTTCCTGTGATTTCATATATACTCTCATTCCACTCAGTGAATCTGGGAAATTTACTTCTTGATTCAGAACCTTTAAACATAATCAAAAGTTTTTATTTTACTCTTTCTTCATTCTTTCATTCAAAAAATATGTGCATCCATTTAATGAATGCCTTCAGTATTTTTAAAAATTAATTTTCAAAATGTGTCCACCTCAGAAATTTCTTTTCATTCTATTTGCTCCATTCCATAGTTACCTTCTCTGTTTTGTGTGCTGTTTCTCTGCCCGAATCAGCATTTAGTGTTGCATTAATTGGTGGGTATTTTTAACTTCTTTTTGTGGGAAAGAGATTTCTTACTCTTAAATGTCTCCATATGATGCAAGGCCATAACACATTCAGAGCAACACAATTAAACACCCTCCTTTTATCAAACCATTTCACAACCACAATCATATGGTATAGGTAAACATTTTAAATTTTAAAATTCTTATGCATATACCAGATCTACCAAATGCAAGTCAAGGAAAAAGAAACAGTAACTAATTTCAGCTTCCTATTGAACATCATTATATTCAGAGAATTGAAAAGGTTATTGTGGAAAAACTTTTTAAAAGCAGAAGACATATATCTATGTCAGTATTTTAGAAAATTGTTAAGAAAATGATTATAAGATTTAAATTTTCACTTTATTACTATTTCACTATGGTCGGTTGATATTAAAAAGTATGACATAGGTATTCATTTTTTGCAAATAAACATTTTAAAAAGAGTTTGAATGTGAATTTATCAAAAATCTATAGTTTTCTGTTGAAATAAGGGGATTTTGCAAGGAAATAATATTTCATGGATGCTTACAATATGTACCAAATATTTTACACAGTTGTCTCATTTGATCTTCATAACAACTCTAGTACTTGATTGTGAGCATTAAATGAAGAGAATTGAGGGTGATGGAGAATAAATAATGTGCCAAACAGCTGCCTTTGGGGCTCCAATTCTTCATATCCCTGGAGATTTCTCTGTGGAGAGGATCAAGCTACAATTTAAAAATCACTCTACCATATTTCACATACTTAGAACATTAATTCGTTGTGAATTTGCATTCAAATATTTTAATTTCAGAAATATACATAAACCTCAATTGATCTTTAGGATATTGCTATTGATTATGAATTCTATTAAAGAAACAATTAGCGAGGTTAAATAAAGGGAGCATAAAAATTATAGCAGAAAGTAAATAAAAAACACCAAGGAAATGAATTTGGAAATAATAAAAAGAAGATGAAAGCACATGGTCTTAGACAAATATGATCTAATTAATTAAACATAATTTTCATACTTTCTATTATTTTTCTGCTCTCAATATTTGGTGATTAGGAAAGAGGAGAGAATTAAATCTGGATTATTAGTAAGAAAAAGAAAAAATAATTTTGTAAAAATATACAATTAGAAGGCAGAAGATGTTAGATCTAGTTGTGAATATGCTACTAAATGCTTGGGTAACTTTGAGGATATGAGTTTATTTTCACTATAAATAGTCAAAATGATCTCTCATGCCTTTTGGTATTCTAAAATTGTATGATTGTCAAGACCACTGATTTTTGAACGCAGGTTTATAACAAATTAACCAAGTGAAATGGAAAATATCTGACAACCCACCACCGAGATACTTTATCTGATTTTTCTGCAAAGATTTCAATGGATTTTTTGCCACTTTTTTGAGGAAGATTAGCTCTGTGCTAACATCTGCCACCAATCCTCCTCTGTTTGCTGAGGAAGATTGGCGCTGAGCTCACATCCGTGCCCATCTTCTACTTAACATGTGGGACACCTGCCACAGCATGGCTTGATAATCGGTTCCCTGGGATCCGAACCTTCAAACCCCGAGCCACTGAAGCGAACTTAACCGCTGCACCACCGAGCTGGCCCCTCAATGGGTTTTTATTGCAGTCAGTTCCTTTGGCTTCATGTAGAAGTTGCTAAAGCACTAAGCAGAAGCTAAAATTACTAAAGAATAATAAAGTTGAAAGAAAACATAAGACCCTAATAGTCGTGAAAATATTGAAAGATTAAATGAGAAATTAGTTTATATTATTCTTTTTGGATGAGGAAAGACATTAAAGAATTTGAGGATTTCATTTCAAAATATTTCGTGATTGAAATAGGAATGACAGCCACTCCAGGGGGTAAAAGTAGGAATGGAAAGATAGAAGCAAATGACTGAACTTAACAGCACTATGTGAGCATCTTCAACAAATAGTAACTTAAATTTCAGAGAGTTAAAACAAATGCTCTGGAAATATATTCAGTAAATAATCTTATATGTGTTCAATAGGATGGAAAATGAGTCTTTACAGTTCTCCTAAGAGTCTAACTAAAATATAAGCCTGCCTATCAATGAGTTCTGTGCTTGATTTCAAACTCACTTCTAATGTTACAGAAGTTATAATAATAAAGTATTTATTATAATAATTTACCAAAAAAGGAAAAATTATTTTTCAGTTATCTGCATTTCTGACTAATACTTGCAATTATGTATAAAATTTTTATTTTACTACACTGTCACGGCTAAAACATATATGAAATTTTTATTTCAATGTTAAATTATGAAATTTTTTTGATCTTTTATTTTTTTCCTTGATATTAAAGTATTATATTTTGTTCACTTAATTATAGACAAAAGGTTCTCAAACCATGACACCCTCTGGCACCCAGAAAAAAGTTAAGAGAACTCTTCCAAATCCACCTCCTGAGGAGACCTCCGCAGGAACTCAGTCGACATATAGCACAATGGGCACAGTCTCCAGGAGGAGGGTCTGCAGAACCAACACAATGGCACGAGCGAAGATTCTCCAGGATATAGACAGAGAGCTTGATCTTGTGGAGAGGGAATCTGCAAAGCTTAGAAAGAAACAAGCAGAACTTGATGAGGAAGAAAAGGAGATTGATGCCAAGTTACGGTACCTGGAAATGGGGATTAACAGGAGGAAAGAGGCATTACTAAAGGAGAGAGAAAAGAGAGAGCGAGCTTACCTCCAGGGAGTAGCCGAGGATCGGGATTACATGTCTGACAGTGAGGTGAGCAGCAGCAGACCAACCCGAATAGAAAGCCAGCATGGCATAGAGCGACCAAGAACTGCTCCCCAAACTGAATTCAGCCAGTTTATACCACCACAAACCCAAACAGAATCTCAACTAGTTCCTCCTACGAGTCCTTATACGCAATACCAATACTCTTCCCCTGCCCCTCCTACCCAGTCACCTACCCCATACACCCAACAATCCCATTTTCAGCAACAAACTTTGTATCATCAGCAAGTTTCACCTTACCAGACTCAGCCAACATTCCAAGCTGTGGCAACAATGTCCTTCACACCTGAAGCTCAACCTCCACCAACTCCACAACCTTCTTATCAGTTACCATCACAGATGATGGTGATACAACAAAAGCCACGGCAAACTACGTTGTATTTGGAGCCCAAGATAACTTCAAACTATGAGGTGATTCGCAACCAACCACTGATGATAGCTCCTGTTTCTACTGATAATACATATGCTGTTTCCCATCTTGGTAGTAAGTACAATAGCTTAGACTTGAGAATAGGATTGGAGGAAAGAAGTAGCATGGCAAGCAGTCCAATATCAAGCATATCTGCAGATTCTTTCTATGCAGATATAGACCATCATACTCCACGAAATTATGTCTTAATTGATGACATTGGAGAGATTACCAAAGAAACAGCAGCATTAAGCACTGCGTTTAGCTTTCATGAAAAGGATCTGTCAAAAACAGATCGTCTCCTTCGAACCACTGAAACACGTAGATCTCAAGAAGTGACAGATTTCCTAGCACCTTTGCAGACTTCCTCCAGATTGCATAGTTATGTGAAAGCAGAGGAAGACCCAATGGAGGATCCTTATGAGTTAAAACTTCTGAAACATCAGATTAAACAGGAATTCCGTAGAGGAGCAGAGAGCTTAGATCACCTTACTGGTCTTTCTCATTATTACCATGCCGATACTAGCTATAGGCATTTTCCAAAATCTGAAAAGTATAGCATTAGTAGACTCACACTTGAAAAACAAGCAGCAAAACAACTACCCGCAGCCATCCTTTATCAAAAGCAGTCAAAACATAAGAAATCACTAATTGACCCTAAAATGTCAAAATTTTCACCTATTCAAGAAAGTAGAGACCTTGAACCTGATTATTCGAGCTATATGACTTCTAGCACTTCGTCTATTGGTGGCATTTCTTCCAGAGCAAGGCTTCTTCAAGATGATATCACTTTTGGCCTCAGAAAAAATATTACAGACCAACAAAAATTTATGGGGTCATCTCTTGGCACTGGACTAGGCACCTTAGGAAGTACCATCCGGTCGGCTCTGCAGGAGGAAGCGGACAAGCCCTACGGTAGTGGCAGCAGGTCTAGACCTTCCTCTGTCTATGGGCTGGATTTATCAATTAAAAGAGACTCTTCCAGCTCTTCCCTAAGACTGAAAGCTCAAGAAGCTGAAGCTCTAGATGTTTCCTTTAGTCATGCATCCCCTTCTGGTAGAACTAAGCCTACCAGTTTGCCAATTAGCCAGAGTAGAGGAAGAATACCAATTGTGGCCCAGAATTCTGAGGAAGAAAGTCCACTCAGTCCTGTTGGCCAGCCAATGGGAATGGCCAGGGCTGCTGCTGGACCCCTGCCACCCATATCTGCAGACACCAGGGATCAGTTTGGATCAAGTCACTCATTGCCTGAAGTTCAGCAACACATGAGAGAAGAATCACGGACTCGAGGCTATGACCGTGACATAGCATTCATCATGGATGACTTCCAACATGCCATGTCAGACAGTGAAGGTAAATTGGGCCTCAAACTACCTAGTTACTCTCGAAACTCAAACTCTTACTTTTCTGCATGTTTAATTTTCCTTCTTCAAGGATATAGTCTACTTTTCTTGGTGTATCTTTTGCATGTTTATGTCAATTTTATTTCTTGTAAATGGAAATTTTATCTTGTATATAGATTTTGTAGCATGCTTTTCTTTATTTCTTTTTAGTTTATTATTTTATTGTTCTGTTTCTTGATTGCTTGATTAGTTTTGTGTCCACTTTTCCAAAACCATTATCAAAAAATTATGTCAATAAAATATGGTCATCCTTTAAATCCATAGTTGGAAAGTTTTTCATTGTATGTCTCTTTTATTTCTTAAAAAGCACTTTTAAAGTTATTCATCAGTTTCTTTCAGTTTGTGAAATTATTAAGGTTTAGAGATATTAAGTACTATTCTGCTAGACTTTGTAATAGAAAAGTATTTATGTCATTTTTGTGAGAACAGTGTTCACTAATTCCGAGAATGTTCTCTTTTTGAGAACTTTCAGATAAGTCCCTGATGTTAGTATAATATAGAATCTTATAGTTCTCCTTAAATAAAAGGTTCATATTTTATCTCTCTCTCATTATGAATATCATAATTGACAAGTTTGTACATTTTGCATGACATACTAGAATACTTAGCGCTAAATATGATGTTGACAATAAATAATCTTATCAGTATGTATGAAGTATTCTTTACATTTTGCTATTGAAAATTTGTACACTAATTTTGTGAATTTAGCTGTTTGGACCTGAAGACCTCCTGGGCTGCCTGGTTAGCCTTTTCCGTGGCTTTGCTTTTGGCATCATGCCATTTTTTTGCTCTAAATTGTTTTGCTAGTTTTTCATATTGAACGAGTGATTTAAGCCAATACTTACTGTACATACTTAACTAAAAGCGGGTCTATGATATTTTTGTCTTTGTTGTTTAATCATGTAGAACCAGAAGGATTTTAGTGAGTTCTCTAGTCCAAGTCTGTTTTGAAGATGAGGGAGGAGTGGGCCAAGGATGTGGAGAGTGTCGCCCGTGCCAAGAGGACTCATGACTCTTGGGGTTTTTTTCTCCCCACTCTGTGGTTTACGTTTGAATGTAGGTGTGGTTTGAGTCCTGGAAATAAAATATTTCTGATCAAATAAAAGCATTATTACTTCATACTTTTGGGGACTGAAAGCACTAAGCTGACATAACATCTCCCCTTGTAAATCTGACTTCTTCCCTGCGGACTCACAGGAAAATATGTTTTCATGAAAAAGATTTCCTTTCTGCTTCTGTATCTAGACACCACCATAATTTTAGAAGTTTAAATCTAGACTAAACTAAAGTAATCACTGGATCTGAAAGAGGAGAAACTGCTTTTCCTAGTGAAATTCTAACAGACTAGTCAGTTTCTGATTTGTTTTCTTTTCTATAGTCTATTGGATTGACCATTTTTATTGATAATTAGTTAATTAAATAAAGCACTCTGTATGTTTTTTTTATTTAGCCAATTGTTTGAGTGAATCTGCATAGTTAAACAAGAGTCATGGTATTATGTGGAAACAGTCTTTAATTTTTCCTTTACTTTTTTTCACAATCCACATTTTACACACATTTTATATATATGAAATGACTAGCATAAGAATAAAAAGGCTCTTCAATAATCATTTTTCATAAAATAAATCATGTTTTATAAAATAAAACAAAACCTAACAGATCTATGGCATATCTAAACACCTAAATGCTATTTGTACATGACGAGCTTGTATCTGGAGAGAATTTGACAAATGCATTTATTAATCACAGATGTTTTGTCAGCATGGTGCCAGACCTACCAATGTTTCTAGATATTTTAAAATGTGGCATTTATTTACATATAACCATATAAAAATAACCAAATGTTTTATTTTTCATTTGTATGTTTGGATCATGGGTACTCATAGTCATCAAAGACTATATGAAAAGAATTGTTTTGATACAGTGGATGTTGAGACATCATGCAGCATACAAAATTATGAAATGTGTAAAGATAATATCAAGGAAGTAAACAAAATGAAATTTAGATGAAATTAAACAATTAAGCTGTGTTTAAAAGTTAAGCAAATTTAGTCATAAAAATCACGTTGATATAGAATTAGACAAAAGACAGCTATAACACATTGAATTACGTATGTAATATTATGTGTGTGAATTGTAGTGATTATCTTTAAAAGATGTACGTTTTAAAATGTTATGTATTTTCTTTGCTTTTGTTTCGCATAAACATACTGGTTTTCTTCTAGTAAACAATGATCTACTTTTCTTTTGAAATCTTGGATTCCTTGAGTAATTAAGGGAAAAAGTAGAATATATTTTTCCCAATTACATAACTCATGACATTTATGAATTCATGAAATATTAGGGATTTTTAAAGTAAATTTTTACCAAACATAGGCTATGTCTGTATTTGAATGACACCAGGTAACCTTGAAAAGTATAACATTCCAGCAGGCTATTTAGTATCATGTAGACAAAGGAAATTTAACTAATTTCATCCTGTTTATTGTTTGCTTTCTCTAAATTTAATTGGACTCTAGGTCATAGACTATACAATGTTTTTCATATGTAGGTGAAATCTAGGTTAGACATAATTTACGTTGATTAACATTTGTGGCCATCGGCTTGAAGTCCACTGCTCGATGTCCATGCCTGGTTAGTTGAATAAGTACAGAGCAGGAGGCCTTTCCTCTGGAGCAGATTGGAGGGAAGCTAAGCTAGAAACTGTCAAGTTATATTTATTTCTATAACCATAAATATTTTGTTGAAAACATTCTTTCAAAGAATATTCTATGGGGAAAAAAGCTTCAGTATATATAGTCTTTTTTTAAAAAAAAATATTTGACCAATATTTGATACTGCATAGAATTAAACTATTCATGTAACTGTTGCTTGTGTATAATTCTAGACCCAAAAATAGCTTGCTTAGATTTTACATTTAAGAATTTAAGGAAATATTATCAGTTTAAATAAGGGAAATGTTAATCTCCAGCACATTCTTTAAACTACTTTGGAAATGTTATTATTATTATAAAATTTAATTTTTAAAGTGCAGATGTACCTTGGCAGATCAGACAGTTGCAGCTATAAAAAATTAGTGTTTATGTACAACTTGCTGTAAATGATGAGGTCAGAATCCAGGGAAAAACCAGATTCATTCAATCTGGCTCTCTTGGTTAATCTGTAAATTCCTCTGCAAAAAGTGGTAGAGGTCCTAATTTAATCATTTGAAGAGTTACAAGAAATAATGGACAATCAAAGTATATAATCAGAATTGGAAATAAACTGACAAAATTTGAATCAGGTTGAGATTCTGCCTTACTTGTATAGACACAGCCAAGGAAACATGTTTTAAAGGACTGTATTTCAAATGAATTAGCAAAGTTATATATTCAAGTGAAATCATGTACTATGTTATCCAAGATACGCATTTATTAAAATTAGTATAGATTATGTTTTTCCTTTTCATGAGAAAGATATAATAAAGGTATATAAAAAGTAAAAAAAATATTGTTAGTTTGATTGGGGATAGTCTAATAAGTTCTTAGAGACTGTTGATCAAATAATGGGTTTGTTTTGTATGTATTTATCAAATTTCGATCACATTAAATATTTTTTCATAAATTAGTCACTTGGTGTCATTAAAACTACGAAAAACCATAATAAATAGCAAGTGGGTTGTGAGAAAAGATTGTGTAACTACTAACGAGGTTCAAGGGACAAATTAATATTTATTTTAAAATGTGCTTATCGTAATTAGGACATTTAACTTCTTTCTCTAGTTGATGACTAATTTTTCTGTGTTTCATTCATTTCCCAAATATTTATTGAATGTTGTGGTGTTTGCAATTCATTGTTTTTAGTGTTGAGGGGAGAAAAAAACAAGATATAAGCCTTGCCTTCGGGCAGCTTAGAGTCTAGTAGGGGAGATCAGACCAGTACATTTGCAACCATAAACCACGTAAGTACTATATTTCCTCAAATCTAAGACTGACTAAATTATGACACACCATCTATCATTCTGTATTTATTGGAGGAAAATGCTGCAGTTAATGAGCAGCACTGACCAAGATCACAGGAGGTGTAGAGGTGAGTAGTGGTGTATATGCTGTGGGTTTGCCAGCCCTGCTGGTAAAGAAATAATGGAAATTGCCTGGGAAAAAAGTCTGGGGAAAAATTTTTGGAAAAGAAGACAAAGTTGTAGACAGAAAAAGAAGACTGTAGTGAGATAGAGAGAACTCAATAGTGTGGTACTGTAGAAGCAGGAGTTTCAGAAAAGCATAGGTTGATAGCATCAACACATCTTCCGTTGTGAGCACTTGAGAAGGGCTGCTCCATCTGCCATTTAGGAAACAACACTATTCTTCCAGAGACTATTAATTGGGGATCCTTTTACAGAGAATAAAACTTTACATAGATTCAAATTCTATATGTTAGGTAAAATAGAATTTTTGGTCACTAAATAATAGCTTTAAAAGACGTTGGAAGTACACAGAACTGAATGGGACAAAAATTTGAAATAATAATCACGTACTTAAATAAGGTTGCATTTTCAAAAAAGTATTTTAAGATGTCAAGTTTTGTCACATTATAATTACAAAAAGTAGTCAGTCATCTCTTCAGTCTAATTCCTAAATCTGTGATCTCACAAAAAATTGCTTAATTTTTAATAAGAAATTCTAATAGTTATATTTTTAATATTAGGTTACCAGTTGATTATGACATACATGTTCCTAGCAATAATACCTGGGATCCTCGTAGAAATAAATGTTTCCATTTATTTATGAGTGTCATTGAAATGTCATGTTTTCAAAAAATACTAACTTGGTGTTCAAAACCAGCAGCCATATATTAGTACTGGGTTGATATGATAGTGGGGAGGTGACAGAATCTTCCATACCCGAGGAATACATTTTCCATAGATTTTAGTGTTGGATGGTGGGTGTTGGGGATTGGTGAGCAAGTGGGAACTAATGAATTGAGGTTGAATAGAGTGACTTCTGAGGGATATTCACTTGTTCATTTATTTATTTAATCACTATCTAAATTTCTTTTTCTCCTGATTTAAAATTTAATTTTGTTTTATTTTGCTCTGAGGGGTTGAACAGTTGTGTACATCATTTCGTCTAGGTTATTCCATTGTACAAAATTTTTAAGATAATATTGGAAATGATTTTTCACATCTTATTGGGAGTTGTGTTTGAAATGCATGAATGGGTAGCAAGCCTGGAATACATTTCTACTTCAGAACATCCACTGCCCTCTGTCATCTTCATTAGTTGGTTGGTTGCAATGTTTGATATTTCCTTGATCTCCAAAGCCTATCACCTGCGTCGTGAAGAAACAGATTGGTTTGACAAACCCAGGGATTCTTGTTTGGAAAATGGACATGGTCTGGATCGAAAACTGCCAGAAAGATTGGTCCACTCTAGACCGCTCAGTCAACATCAAGAGCAAGTAAGTGCTATATTGAGCAATCTCTTTTAGATTTACCAAAAAGAAAGAAAGAAAGTTCACCCTAGAACAGTCTCAATTATCCTAGAATGCATGGAACTTTTGTCAATCAAGTTCACAAATGATTTTTTTTTTCAGTAACTTAAAGTAGTGAGTACCTTACTGCATCAGCCATGACTGATTAACATTACAGCATAGCTGTGATGCTTCCACCAGGCAATTTAAGACATTCATTCCTCCAACAGATAATTGTGTGTAAAACATACCCAACACTGCTATACAAGGAGAATACATGAAGCTCCTGAAGAGCTTACAGAATATTGGATGAAACAAATATGGGTAATATTAATGCTTTCTAATAGCAATATATTTGAGCCTTAAGAAATAGCAAATAAGAGGATGACCAAACCAAGTCAGCTGGGGACAGAGAAGCCTTCGTATCAGGGAGAAGGGAGCTCATATTTTAGAGCCTTTGATTTGGAAGTGTTAGTTTGTTTTGCATTCATTTTTGGATTTTATCTTCAGAACAACTCAAAATAGGCGTTATTAATTAATATATATTTATAGATGAAGACACTGAAACGTAGAACATTTCACAGTTAGACAAATATGATACTAAAATTCATGATCTTATTCACTTTAGAAAAAATGATGTTTGAATTGAATTTTGCAATATTTGTGGGAGGTTAACAGTTGGATAAATTGCGAGAGATTCCTCTAGCAACCCAAGTGTCCTTAAATCGATTGTCTTAAGGGATCGGATATTTGCACGCTGTGTACTCATGATCATTAAAGCAGCCTCAAAACACATAGCTGACTTATTTCACATACATTAACTGCTAAATCATCCTGTCCGATTAGTGATTCATTGATCTAGATGGCAATTACATTTCAAACAACAAAGAAGAACCATATGAACTTACTATAATTAAACTCAGTGTTTGTCACATTAGGTATAAAGGAAAAGACTTTTGCATATACAAGTACTATAAAAGATAATATCTATACTCTCAGATTTGATTTCTTCCTAAGCAATTTCAGTTTTCATTGCCAAATTTCTATCTGTTAAATAGAATTTCCTTTTCTCACAATTTCATTTTTTGTTTTTCTGTATACTATCATATTTTCCAGAAATCTTAGCATTCTTCTCTGTATAATGTATAGTCTTTCTTTAGTTTTTGATATCTTTAATAAATTTTTCATTTAGGATTGTTTACCTCCAAACATATGTCAATATATCTCCATTTCTTTGTACTTCACTTTAATGCATCAGACTATTATACTTTTCTTAGCTTTCTTGTTATTCTTTAAAATTGTATCTATAGTTGTATTTCAATCTCATCAATTAGATCTGACTGGGGAGTAAGAAAATTAAAAAATCATTATGAACATGTTTAAAAATTTTAAATTGCCTCCTTTTATCTAATTACTAAAAAAATAAATTTGTCAGCCGCAAATAACTTCCTTGAATGTATTTTAATTATAAAAATCTCTCTGTAATGACTTACTTAACATTATATCTTACTCATCTCATTTGTTTCTCTGAAGTTTAGTATTTCCCACAAACCTAGATCAAGTCAATGAAAACACAAATCCTTTAAAGAAATCCTAATAACATGAAATCTATAACCTAGAGATCTAAAAAATAATAACTTTCATAGAGTTACTTTTCAACACTACCATTTCCATGGATATTCAGAATAGTCTCGCTCAGCTAGTTTATCTAACTAATATTCTTTCAGGATACATTTTAAAGTAATCTATGTCCACCTCAAAAAATATTTTCTAAAATTCTATTTACTGTATGTAGATGAAATAATATCCCTAATGACATTTTTTTGTTCCTAACTTTCTGTTACATCTACAGATTTATGGTTTTGATCAACTGAAAACATAGCACCATCACGTTTAATATATATAGAGAGAGAGACCAATATAATGCCAAAATTAAGCAAAGGGTATATCTGAGAATCATTTAAAGAATTTCTTGCATGTTTTATAAAGTAGAAAATGTAAGAATTCTTGTTAGAATTACATATGGGTAAATGTAATACAGTAATATATATTTTCTTGCTAGAAGTTATTTTTTACATTTTTATTTTGATATCTAACACAAAAAACTACATATACTCTTATCAAAACTGCAAATATATAGAATTATAAACTAGTTATAAGGTGAGTAGGCATATAACGCCACACAATCCAAGAAAGGGAATATTGCCTGCCCCCAGAAACCCCTGTGCTCCTTTCAGATTTTAAACTTCAGCCTCTCCCAAACAAAGTAACAAATACACTGGCTTTTGTGACAATAATTTCTTTGTTTTTCTTTAAGGTTTTTTCTAAACAGAAGCTACATAGAAGACAATATATGCTTTAGTAACATTTATATAAAGTTCAAAATTCATGCTTTTTTGCATTAATATTTATCTTCAAATGCTTTCTTATTAACTCATCATACTGTATTTTGGTCTAGAGAGAATAGCAAAATGGCATTCTTGTTTTATTCACTTCTTTGCATCTCTAATCTTAAAAAGGTAGTATCAGGCTCTTGGAAGCAATAAACCCAAATGCTTTCATTTGGAAACTTATGTATAACAAGAATTTAGCACATAAAATGCTCTGGAGGCAAAAGTAATAAAACTAAATTGACTAATGCAAACTGTAATTTATCAGTTTTTAAAAATATTTTATGTGCAACATACATTAGATAGAATATATCTGAAATTTTTATTAGACTCAAAATCACATTAACTATAAAAATAAACCAAATCTGCAAATCCATATTTGTTTCCTTTCAAATATTTGTGATGTTTAACCTCTGCACTATTCAGTGGAAATTGAGCTCTGCTTTGTAAATTGAGCAGGTCACCTAATTCCCCCGCCCCCTTTTTAAACTTTTCTTCATGACTTCATCTATAAATAGGGCTAATACCCTTCACAAGGTGGTTATAAAGGTCGGCACTTCTTGACTAGTACAAAATGTCTCCACTCTCTACACTAATGCCTACACGTTCTGCAATTCCCAAGCAACTGTTATATTGAGGCACATTAAGCTCCTCTGAAAGAACCACTCTCTTTATTCTGGGCCTTTGAATGTGTTGCTTTCTCTCCCTGAAAACTTTTCCTCCTCTCTTCTCTTAGCTAACCCTACTGATCATTCAGGTCTCCAGGTACATGTCCCATCTTGCAAGAAGACTTCCCTGGCACTGCCACCACCACCTCCCCACAAAACTGGGACACATGTTCTTCCTTTGTGCTCCATGTGTTATGTCTTGGGCTGTGAGCTCCTAGATAGCAGGAGCTCTCTAGTCTATCCACCATGTGTTATATACAGCACCTAGTACAGTGCTTGGAATGCAGAAAGGCACTCTCTACCTTGCAGCTAGCATGCATGTTATTTAAGTGAGGGAAAGGATGAATGTCTGTATAAATAAAATATATATTAACACAAGAGAATATATCATAAGTGTGAAGGCTCAATTCATGAAAATAATTTCTTCTGAAATATTTGTGGGTAGAGAAGAGAGAGAATTCTTTTTCTGGGAGGCATGCAGGTGATAGTTCCATCAATGCAGAATCACCAAAAGACAATGGTATCAGAAACCCGGCTCTTGGGGAGAGGTATAGGGCACACTTGACATCAGTCCTGCCCTCTGGCGCTGCTCCTACCCTTACTTGGCAGAAGCAACACCTACCCTGAACCTCCATCTGCTGGACGACTTTCTCAACTTTCACCTGCAATGGTTAGGAGAAAGCCAAGATCCCACTAGTTCATACATGGGAGACAGATACCCCTGCTTTCTATAGACTCTTGGTCACATTGATTATAATTATGGCAGTTCAATGCTTTTTATTTATTAAGTGAATTCATTAAGCTGGTTGTAGACAGTTGCTGAAACTACAAGAGATTCTATGAGATGCTCTGAAAGCAACATTCGTGGAGATGAAGATGTTTAACATCCCTTCTACTAATATCATAGGTACAAATTAAAAGGTGATACTGGCTAGCTGATAAAACTCTGATGAAAAATTGGGAAAGTCTGATTACGCTTCTAGACTGTGCAATAGATGTACTGTGAGATTACATCAATTTCTCCATAGTCTGGAGAATTGGGAAGAATAGCAGAAGTCAAAATTATATTTTCTTAGTTTATTTTTGGCCAGGTCTTTTAAAAATCATTGTTAAATAATACATGAAATTAGAAGATGTTTGAAATAAAATTAAATAATATCCACTCATTTTAATGACGTAACCACAGTACCAAAGCAAAGTTCAGTTATGTCTAACAGTTGTAGAATTTTCAGTGCACACAGTTAAATTTTTAGGAAAAAATAAAAATCTTTAAATACAGATTAAGGGAGGGAGGGAAGAGAGAAGGAAAGGAAAAAGGAATACAGAAGAAGAAGAGGGGAGGGCAGAGGAGGAAAATTAAGAGAGAGAAGGGAAGGAGAGAGACAGATCAGGAGGCAAGTGGAGAGGAGAGAAGGAAATGTATACTCTTATTGTGGATAGAAATAAGATTTTCAGTGGTTTACAAAGTTAGCGTTAGTCTGAATTATCCAGCTTCACTGATTATTGTGAGCATAATATTTTTATAATCTTGCAAACAATATTTTAGTTTTACTTTGCAGCCTTCGTATATTATTCCTGACAACAGGATCCTGCTGTTGTTTGGGGAGTGTTTTCTCTTCAACAGAGGCCTGATGCAGCTTAATCTTTTCCGAACTTAGAATAAAAACTAAAGGCTATCATTTAAGCTTACACTTTTTTAATATATATTTTAGTTTTAATATCCAAAATTCTAACAGTTTTACAGCTGAGTTTACAAAGGCACATTAAGACCACATAAGTATTCCAAGGAATCTTTCTTCACAAAATGTACATTTCTTTGGTTCTAAATTATATTTAATATTTTGGTTTAGTATTCCCATACGTTTCTTAAACATTGAAATGGGTAGTATTGAATGTATCTTTACTAAACTGTGTTTCATTTGTAATTTTAGTCCAAATTTTTCCTAAGATGACAGATACAAGATTCCATACTAATAAACTCCTATTAATATAGATATGAATATATTACATTTCTATCTTTCTTTATTTCACAAATCTCTTTTGAAAACAAAGTTCCATAAAATATAAAGCACAAGTTTGGATTCACTAATTTATTTTTGTTTCAGATCTCTTTTTGCCAGGTGGAAACAGAGGTAATGCAGTCTAAAGTATTCTCATGTTCAAGTCTCAGTAACGAGAATTGAAATCATAGACTTGCAACAATAGCTTTAAGCGTTGCTTCTTCTACCCGAAGGAACGTCAACAGTAAATGAGAAATAATGCCATCAATAACACATACTTTGCATACAAAAAACAGTCCAGAAAGTATTAGAATGAGCCAAGTTTTTATTTATTTGTAGAACATTAGTCTCAGCATCCAGTGTACATTGAAATTTCTAGTAGATGTGCTCAGCAAAAGCACAATTCTGCAATAAAACCAAAGCAACACAAGTACAGAGCAGTCCTAGCATAGTGATAGACAGGTGAGGGAGAAGATCCTCTCTGGCTTTTCTCCCCTCGCAGCGCTTAATTGCTGAAAATTAACCCTACCTTTCCATTTCTAGGCTGTCCAGGGCAAAATCAGCCCTGTCAGTTTTTCATATACGTTCTCTATCTTCTTTCGTCACTATTGACTATGTACTACTGATGTAACAGTCATCCTTTTCGACCTGTACATGTGCTCATGGAGTTCCCGAAGACAACAAATCAGTTTGCAAGAGAAATTGGTTATAAATGTGAAGACTGTAATGAACTCAGAAGCCAATAATATCATTATATAGTGGAAGAGGCTTACAGTGTCATCATTTAAGAATTTTCTAAGACTTTTTCGTTGATTGAATCAATCTGCTTTTTTTAAAAAAACGTAAGTCTGTATATTGCATTTTAAATGTCTTTAACATTGCTTTTTCACCTTATCACATGTATGTCAGATTATACAGATGAACGGGAAGACCGTGCACTACATCTTTCCTCATGCAAGGATAAAAATAACGAGAGACTCTAAGGATCACACAGTTTCAGGTAAAGGAAATCAAATAATCTAGTCCTTTTTATTTTAATGTTGGATTGAAATATGTATTTGGATTTCAGTTTAGATGAATCATTAAATTTTAGAAAACACCATCTTTTTATGTCAAAAATTTTGTTTTGGAAAATTTCAAAAAGTAAGCAGGCTATACATTTGAACACAAAAGACAACAATGGCATGATGATTAATATGACAAATTACTAGATGGTGCATATTTAGATCATTTTTTTCATTAACTACATTTTTTAAAATGTACATGGCATTGCAAAGCTCCATAATTATTGCTCTATTGAGTAATATGGTTGCTGGTTTTCGCACTATAAAACATTCTTACACAAGAAGTAAAAAACTATATTGGATTCTTCTAAGGAATAAATTCCCCTGTACCTGTCAATTTGAACATTATCAATTATGCTGAATTTTTGTTTGTTTGGTTATTTGTGTCCTATGAACCAAAGCTTATGATGGAATTTTTAAACTTTGTATTTTGAAATAATTTTAGACTTCCAGAAAATTTTGGACTCCTAGAAAAGAATGCATTCAGTTCTTTTGCCCACCCTTTGCCCAATTCCTCTAATGTTAACATCTATCTAACCACAATAAGGTGTTCAAAACCAGGAAGTTAACATTGATAAAATACTATTAAAACATCTGCAAGCCTTATCTAAATTTTGAGTTTTCCCACTAACACACTAAATTTTTTTTTTCTAGTCCAGGATCCAATCCAGACCTCACGTTGCATTTGGTTGTCATGCCTCCTTCGTCTCCTCCAATCTGATAGTTTCTCTTCCTTTGTCATCATGACTTTGATGTTTTTGAAAGATAATGGAATTTTTATATTTAAATCTGAGAGAGAAAATATGTTTTGTCAAATTAGTGAATTTTTAAAGTATGAATAGTACCTATATTCTCACTCAAGTATGTTCTTTGTGTTTCATAGACACTGTACATCAACAGAAAATACTCATAAATATATATTCATATATTTGGGTATATGTATAGGTGGTATATCTAACATAGTATATGTGCTGGAGAGGTTTTTTTTAAGGACTGATATAACAAAGAACACAAAGAGGTATTTCTTCAGTATCCTTGCTATTTTTCCTTGTAGATTTTAGACCATGGAACATGTGGAGTGGAACAGGTTTTGCTTTGAGCAATTTTCCTCTCTTTATTTTCGTAAAGAATTAATCCATTAGGAGTCTAATGTTGTTGTTTTCCTTTCAAGATTGGGTAATTTTTTTTCTGCCAGAGACAGATAATTGAAACTTTCATAGTTTTATTCCATGCAGAATGTATTTTAAGTATTGATGAAAATTCCAGGGGTGAATCTTAAGACCCAAGGACTCCTTTTGTAGAAATATTTACCTGCTGCAAAGTATTTCGGTTCCCTCCAGTTCATAAAACAAAACAAGATAATATTTTCTAGCAATGCCAAAATTATTTTTTCATAATCTATAACATAAATCTTCAGACCATTTTTACTAAATCATCAGGACTCTATATCAGTGTATCTATTTTCTCTCTGTATTATTATTTTTATACCACATTAAAGTAATTATTCCTTCAACCTTATTATTTGTTTTGCAATTCATTATTTTAATTTGTTTTCTTTTACCACAATTAATAAAAAAGTTTTAAAATATAAGAATAACAGAAATAAGAGCTATTGCTTTCTTGTTTTAAATATTCTATTCTGAAAACTAAATTCAATTTCCTCTGTATATAGATTTTGCAGGATGAGAAATGAGGATTGTAGTTTTGAGCAATAAATTTACTAGTAGTGTACTATATCATCGCTCTGCGTGCCCCTTTTTCTTTTGATATTTGCATAAAATAATAGTAAAAATATTTTCCCTGTTATATTTTCCCTGCGTAGATTACTACTGAATTTATTTTCCAAGTGTCCTTTGCTAGCATGAACTCATACTAAATGAAATGTTTTGAAACAATTTTTATTGTTTTCACATAAGTCTTCAGTCCCTCAAAGGGACCTAAACACATGTAAATGCAAGGCTAGAGCCAGAAATGACAATGTTTGGAAAACAGTGTCTAGAAGTTCTAATCTAGTGGCAGGCAAACTCTGGCGCAGAGCATTTGCAGTCCTGCCTAGTCTTTATGTCATTTGCTGCTCAACCAAAAGCCTAGTCTGATTGACTAAATATTTGGTGATATTAAGGATTTGCAATTATTTTTTAACTGTGATTACCATTTTTTTGTTTATATTTTTAATGAAAATTAAGAGTATCTCTTTTAGAGATGCATACTAAAATATTTATAGATGAAATAATATCTTGTCTGGGGTTTTGCTTCAAAATTAGCTGTATAGAGAATAGTGAAGAAATAGATGAAGCAAAATTGATTATGATTTGATAATCATTGGAGATGGAAGATTAACTACACTCGGTTTTAGTATAGTCTTGTCACTACTTTTTTATATGTATGAAATTTTCCATAATAAAAAATTTTTAAATTCCTGTTTGTTTCTCAGGTTTAGAGAAAAAGAAGTGTCCAGTAGCTTTATCAATAGTGAGGAAACTATCTAAGGTAATAATTTAACTGCCTTTGTAAAACAAGGTAAGGATAGAAGTAAGGAAGGAGTGAAGAATAAAATGTAGTCTATCTACTCTCCCAACATTGGGGGAAATGGCTATTAGCGAATTTTCACTTTGGTTATATAAACCTACTGAAAGTAGAAATCCTGTGTATCTTTTATTAAATTTAAATAAACCATTCTAACTGGGTGTATCATTAAAATATTTTATAAGAATTATGTAAAACGAGCCCACCTCACAAAAAGAGAAAAGTGTATTTTCATTTATTGGAAGCAAAAATAATTTCAAAATAGGAGACAGGACTAGAAAGTAGATTTTTATTGTTTCTCCTGTGTGGTCTCAAAGGATGAGCAGGGAACCCTCAGGATTCCAAAGATTCTTGCAGAGGTCCACAAGGTCAGAACTATTTTCAAAGTAATGCTAAGGCAGTATTTGCTTTTTGCACTCTCATTTTCTTATGAATATACAGTAGAGTTTTTCAGAGGTTACGTGATGTGTGACATCACAACAGATTGTATACAGGGCACATATGAGAATTAAGCTGTCTTCTATGTAGCTCAATATTAAGCAGATTTACAAAGTAAAACAATGCCACCCTTCTCATGTGTTTTATTTATAAAATAAAGCCATGTTTTAGTTTAAAAATGTGATTTATTTTAACATGGAATGAGTTTATTTTAAATTCATTAATAAACAAATATGTTAAATTCTCAGTTTTAATTTATAATATAGAAAATATACATAGCTAAAATCCATGTAAACAAAACCTCTTTGAAGTCCTCAATAGTATTAAAGAGTATAAATGGCTCATTAAAACCAAAGTGTTTGAGAACCACTGTTCTAAGAATATTTATAAAGAAGGTTAAAAAAATTATAAATAAGCTTGTTTTCTTCCTGTAGAAAAACTTATATAACATAAAATATATTTTATAACTTTTTAGAACTCATATTGGATATATTTTTAATTTTTTACTCATTAATACTCATAAATTGAATACCCATAATATGATTTACATTGTGTTGGTGGCTAGATTAATAGAATGAATACAAAAAATATTGATCTACAACTTACTCATAATTTAGAATAATCTGAAATATAGGTAATTATTACAATAAAATTTTAGGAACAATTGAGACAAAGCTGAGGAATTTACAAAACTTTATCGTTCATGCCCATATGTATGTATGTATAAGTATGTACACACATATACATACGCACCATTTTTTGCTTTTTGGTGAGGAAGTTTGGCCCTGAGCTAACATCTGTACCAATCTTCCTCTATTTTGTAGTGGGATGCCACCACAGCATGGCTTTCATGAGCAGTGTGTAGGTCCATGCCTGAGATCCAAACCCACGAATTCTGGTCGCTGAAGCAGAGCACACAAACTTAATCACTATGCCACCAGGCTGGCCTCCATATGCACCAGTATTTATATTTTTGTGATGTATGCAGAGAGAAATATATGTGGAGAGAAATACGTACAATCTTCTATTAAATAGTCCAGATTTTTAGAAAATAGTTTCCTTAACGTTTAACTGTAAACTTCAAAGATGTGTTTATAGGTGCCGATCAACAACTGTATCATGGAACAAGACAAGGATGACCACTTTCGCCACTCTTATTCAACATAGTACTGGAAACTTTAGCCAGAGCAATTAGACCAAAATAGGTCATGAGTTTTGGAATCAGAAAGACCTGAGTTGGAGTTCAGATCTATTGCTTATTTAAATTTTGAGAATAAGTTTTCTCCTCTGTAACATAAGCCCAGCTCTATGCATCTCACATAATTGCAAGTGAAGCTAGCACAAAATCTTGTGCTTACTGTACACGCAACAAATGTTATTTCCCCTTCTTTTAGATAGAAATTATCAGAAGAAAAGAATAAAGTATAATGCTCAAGAAGTGAGCCTCTTTCTTTTTTATTTAGAGCTCCATCTTAGGGCTTCAGAAACACAGCTGTTTGAAACAAGCCAAAGAAAATCTCCTGATTTTAAAATTGATATTTGCTTGTGTGTAGTTTCATAATGAACTGGCTACATCTGCAAGGCTAGAAAGACTAGTTAGCAAGTGTAATAGTGAAGAACATTAAAAATGTTTAGGTTCAAAAGAAAGCAGTGTCTTTTATGGAAATAGTGGCTCATTTTTTATTCCTTATTAGTCTACCATCTTTATGGGCTTTTAGAAACAGGAGGCAAATGTAACAGATCTCACTGGATCTGAGTTGGTAGCAATACCAAATGTGGATAGTTCCTTTTTTATTATTTTAACAGCTTCAACAAGGTATAATTTGCATATCATAAATATACATGTACATAAATGTAATGAGGTATAATTTTCGTATCATAAATTTTAAGTGTATAAATTAATGAATTTTAGTAAATTTGTGGAGTTGTGCAACCATCACTACAATCTTGTTTTAGAGCGTTTCCATCGTTA